TCAAATAGGCTTTTAAATGTTATTGCCTGAAAATAACATAGAGACCAGGTTCTCTAATATAGCAGGAATAAAGACTGACTTTGCATTTGAAGCAGTAGAATGGGAATGAGGGAACTGGTCTACAAACTTCCTGGGATACTTCTGACATAATTAATCATTTGCTTGGTTGTCTTTGCCTCCCAGAAGTGTTGAGCTATGTCCATAAATATTTGAAAGATGACTATAGGGTCATGAAGATGTCAAGACAAACATACAGGAAACCTATGGACAAAGGAGATAAGAAATTTCAGCTCTGACATTACAAAATACACACCCCTGTGACTTTCCAAGCAATTATTTTTTTTTTTTTTTTTTTTTTTTTTAACAAATGGTCTGTGCAGGGGAAAACAGTTCAGAAATCCGTGGGGTTGAAGTAAAATAATCAGTAAGTAGGTCCATTTTAACAACCCTCAACTTCGGTGGCTAACAAGTATTACAAAGGTTTATTTTCCATGTAAAGAAGTAAAGATTGTATGAGGTAGATGGGTTTGTTTTCCTAGCATTTAGCCTTGTCACTCATGTGAAAAATGAAGATCTGAAAGGAATTAAAAGACTTCACATCAGCAGGAGTGGAAGCAAACTGATTAAACATATTGAAGTTCTTAGTTATCTTTAAAAAATACATTTTATGGGAATAATAGCTGCCTGTTGACTGAGGACCAGTGAAGAATATAAAGGATAAGAGACAAGGAATAAGATTATTATTTAAAAGTCTCTTTGCATTGACAAGTTTGGTTCATTGATCTGCAGCATATTATATCAAATGCTGTACTTGATTTGTATTTTTGAAATACAAATAGTTATTTAACCCTGGATTTTGAGGTGCTAAGGGACAGGTTTTGTAAAGCAGCTTAAGAGTCAAGTTCATAACAGGCCAAAGACAGGTTTTAGCTGCGAAATTTCAGATTTAATTCAAATCTCCCTTCTCAGGAGCTTATAACTCCGTTGAAGTGCACACAGAGTTAGTTGGTGCCTACATAGAAATTACTCAGGGTATCACAGCAACAGGATTTTGGTACCCTCAGTAAATATGTTTGCTTTTATTTCTATCTACAGGAAGAGGGAGTGGCCATCTTTTCTATATCAGCTAGTAAACAAAGCTTTCCTCTAAGAAGTGGAAATCTTGGCTCTGGGCCTTGATTATTTGTCATAGGGTCAAATACATGTTGTGAGAATTATTTTTTCCTTTTTTAAAGATGCGATAATGTTGTAATAGAAATTCATTCTGAAATCAAACTTCTTAATTCCTCCTACAAGGTTTGTGTTTCAATTAACTTCTAGGTTAGTTCCAGGCTTTGTATTGTAGTCTATCTTCTCAGACTTCACAAGTTTTTGCATTCTTTTCTGCATGATGGCCCAGCAAGTAGGAAAGCCAGAGAATTTTCTCCCACATCTCTCTAGTCTAGACTTTATGTGGGTAGTTAGGGAACTCTACTGGAATGTGAGACATATGGGATTGAACTCCCTTATTATGAAAGAGTGTAAGTAAAACAGCTGGGCTAATAGATGAAAGGTGGCTGCTATCTTCAGCTTTTGCTGCTTTTCTTTATTTATCTAGTGAAAAAGTGTATGTTCCTCAAGTACCTAAACAGAAGTGTGCTCACTGAGAGAGAGTTTGGAGTGGGCTGAAGTTCCTTTTGAGCAGCCGTTCCTTTGAGGTGCTACATATTCAAAGATGCTGATTAAGATTCTTGGTAGTGTGTGTTGGTTTTTTTTTTTTTCTTTGTTTACTCTGTCTGGATTCTCACTTAGGATATAGATTTTCTGACTCTGTCAAAAGCACCAAAATTTCATATGCTATAGAAAGGCATTTGCATTTAATTTGCAGACAGGTATACAACCTTTTATATGTCCTCTGGGTGCTTCTTTCCAAAGCATCTAGGCTCTGAAGATAATAAATATCACTGAAAAGTAACATGGCTATCTCCCAGATGGAAGGTTCTGTCTACTTTATGATCCAAACGAGCAATTGTAGCATGTATAGAAATACTTATGATAGTTTTAGTTAGCTTTGTCACTCAGGTGTCAATATGGACTTTAGTAAAAGTTTCATAAATATGTCTATGAATCTGGAAAAAAAAAATCTTTGAGACAATTGTTGCTTTAGTAGAATTAGGAAGAACAAAAGCCTGAATATTGGAAACAGGCCAGTTTCTAGTGAGGGAAAAGTGAGAAGGAGATGAAGACAAACTTCAGACTACTTAAATGTGGTGTTGAGAGTGTTTAGAGGAAAGAAAAGAAAACGGATGAGTTGCAAAGAATTGTACTGGAACTACCTGCTAGGAGGATGAAAGAAATTGTGATACAGAGCATGACAACGCAGTCACCAGCTAGCAGGTGGAGGCTGGATGTGGCCTTCTAAAGAGCATAACCATCAACAGAGTTACTGAACAACAGTGTGCAAAACAAGTGAGGCACTTGTATAGTCAGTCACTTATGGGAGGTGACAAATATGCAAAGAAACTGGCAATTGGATTCAATATTATGGAGCACTTGTAATTAGGTGAATCATACTTTTTTAAGTACATAAAGAAATGCAGGGAATAATTTAAGAAATTAATCCATTATGGAACAAACTGACTAAGCACAGAGAATTAATTAGAGATTGAACTAATGATACAGAGAATTAATCACAAAGCAAGCTAATGAGAGAAAGGGCAACTGAGGAGGTGGAGATGAGACAGTGAGTAGCCAACAAAGAAGCCAAAAGTACCAGGTGTTGCTGAGTAATGTAAGTGGCCACATTTTAACCAAACGAGCTCCAGTCATGCCTGCTGCTGAGTTATCATCTGTGCTGGGAACATCATGTTGCCTTGAGAAGGTGATGGCTGGCTTTGGCCATGTGAGAAGAAAGGGGGTGAAGATAAGCTCTACTCAGTCTATGCTTGTGTGATCAGGACAGGGGAGCTGCAAAATGGGACTATGATTGGAGGCTTTACTGGGCTATTTTGTTCTGGTTATACCAGAGAAACTGATGAGAGATCTTGAAAAGGCTTTTCTCAAACTAGTTTTAACTTCTCCATTTAACTGATCTCCCTTAACTAGTGTTGGTTGAGCCCTCCCTATGATTTTAATAATTCTCTCCAAATTTGTACATATGCCACAAAATGCTTTCTCTGGTCCCTTGTCCTTTGCTTACCCACAAATATTTTTATTTTCATCTTCTATCAGATGTCCACATGATTTTAGGTCTGATACAAAGTTCACCAAGTTTTACAGAAGTCTTTATCTAGACCTTCCTGTGAGCTGCTTGAGACCAGCCTCATTTTTTCTGCCTAGAGATAATAGAATTCCTTGTTCAGCTCAGATGATGAAGACTTATGTACAAGGTACTGGAATTCATAAGCTTCTCCTGAGGTGTGGTGCCTGTGTAAGTCCTCTGGTTTGTATAGCTATTGTCTATCTAACTCATTAATACCTGTATGCCAAAGGAGAAATTGTCTTGTGACTGTTTGAAAGTGAGACCAGAAACTTCCAGAAAACTATGGATTTAAAAAACCCAAACAAATGTGGAGCCTATGTTAGATTTCCCTAAAGTAATTGATGAGGTGGTTGCTTCTATGGCACCACTTATATTATATTTTAGAAGGGGGGGAAAAAATAGTGTGGTATCCCAAAATATAGATTCATTAATTACATTAATCTGTAAAATGATATCAGATATTGGATAGAAACAAAAAAATTTGCTATAATGATACTTCATTCTGTTGTGGGATGGCATCTGTGATTTAATGTTTCTAAAGCACCATGAAAAATTATATTTGATTTTATCCATTGTTGGCTTATTGCTACAGTTAATTCATATCAGATTTTGTTTTACCTTGATTTATATACAGTAGCCATTTTATAACAAGATAATTGCATTAAATGGACTTTGTTTAAATTTTCATTATATGAGGAAAGGAATTGTGATACTTGCTACAATAACACAAAGCACAAGTAAGGATTATACAAGTTTCCTTGTAGTCTTTTTTCCAGTTGCTCCTCCCTTCTCAAATCATCTTTATCACAGAAAAGCTGGAGGTTCCTCAGCCTTTGCTTTGTTTCTCCTGTGAAATGAACCTGGTTTGTTTTGTTTTGTTTTCTAAAGGAAAAGCATGTTTTTCTGCAGTACTGGAGGATGGAAAGGGAAATGGCTGTGCCATTGATGGTGTGAGAAAGGGAAGAGGGGATATAGCCCAGTAGCAGTTGCTTCCCTGTCCTGAGCCTTTATTTTGGTAGTTGCTGCAGCATTCCTTCTGGCTCTGCTGTAAGCAAACTAGGCTTGGCTGTTGGGAGGTGGGGGAGGATGGGTGCAGTATAGCCATGGCCAGCTGCCGCTGTTTTCAGCAACCAGCTGCTTAGGCAAATAATTACTTTGTATTACTGCCCTGAGCTCCATGTTCCTCTGTTCAAGTCCTGGATGTCTTCTGAATGGTGATGGCAAATCATTTTTAATGGCATTGTTTTTTTAAAATTATTTGTTTGCATGCTTTTTTTGAAAAAGTTTTGAATGACTGTTTGATGGAAAATTTGAATGTCAGTTTAAAATCTGTCTTATCTTTGTATTTTTTTTAACACATATGAGAAGTATACCCAAAAGACACATTAAAACCTCAGTTTTCTTTCTTAAGCTACTAAATATCTTTATTTTAACGTAAGGTTTCTAAGAAGTCAACTTACAGTAAAGGGAAATAGATTTTGTTACACTAGCTGATTAAAGTGGACAAGCTCATGAAGGGACGGTGTGCTTGAAAGTCTGTTGCTTTTTATTATTGTAGGATAGTGCTTGTATTTCTGTAACAAATCATTGGTTTGGTGTCAGTGGGAATTCAGAGTTCTTAATTTCTTCCACAAATAATAATAATAAAATAAGATCATCACCTGGCAGAGCATTTGGAAGAACAATTTACAGCCCTATATAGTGTACGTATATTTTGTCCGGATAATCTTTGAACACTCATAAATAGCTTATTACTGACCTTGTTGGTTTGTTGTGGGTTCTGCTTTCTTATTGGCCTCTGATTTCTGTCGTTCATCTGTGTTTTTATTTTCACCCTTAAAAAAATAAACAGGATTACAAACTGTAGATGCTCATTGTTGATAATCATAAAGATGGTTTGATGTCTGCAACATTCTCCTAGGAATTTGATTAACCAGGTTGACAAAACTGAGCTTTGTTCCTGGGTGTTCTCTGTGTGTTCTTGGACAAGGCTTTTCAGATAGGTTCACAAAAGGCCTTGGATGCTGAAATAAAAAACTGATGTCTTCACTTCTGCTGTGCAAACCCAGTTACTTAGCCTGGAGTTCTGCTGGTGCATGTTCCCACAGCCTCCTTTATGTCGTCAAGGCTGACTTGTTCAGTGTTACCACCCAAAAGCCTGTCTGCATTTCTGAACTAGTCATTCTTCTGCCTAAACCTTCTGCTGGGCTAATAGACCTTGCATGTTTTGAGCTACCTCACCACAGTGACAGATCTATCTTTACAAAATTCAGAGACAGTATCAACTTTCACTGCAAAAAAATTAACTTCTTCCCACACTGACTGGCTTAGGTCCATGAACAAAGTCCTCATATACCTGTACTTTGGTTTGTCTTGGCTTTGACATAGAAGACCTTGGAGGAGGATGTGAGCAGTGTATGGGGAGTTTTCGGTGTTCACTGAACTCTGTAGCAGCATAGTGCTAATTAAACCCATGAGCATTTGTTATCCCAGATAGAATGAATTTGCCTGGTGTTTATCATGCTGATTAATAGAGAAAGATATTAGAGAGCTTAAGCATATGGTAAATTATTTGACTTTAGGAGATTTCAGATCTTGATGCACTTTTTTTTTCTTTTTTTTTTTTTTTTTTTTTTTTTTGTTTTGTTTCTGGAATTAATTTGGAGTTTGTCTTTTTCTATGAAAGTATTTATTTTTTCCCGTCTGCTTTTATTCAGAGCACTAAAGTTCTAGTATACATATATATATATATAAAGATATTTTAAAAATATATAAATGATAATTAGAAGCCAAATCAATCACTGTGCATACTATAGTTAATTGCATATTGGTTTTTTTTTTTGGTAAAAGTTGTTTTTGTTTCAGGTTTCCTCCTAATAGCATGAGAATATTAATGTGAAAATAGTGCTTTACAGTTGCCAGATACTATGTACATTTCTTTTCTCTTTAGATGATATCTCTTTGCAGGCAGAAAGTGTCTTACTCCTTGACCCATTCATCTGCCTCCACCTTAACTGTATCTATAATAGTAGACACTTATGGTGGGAATAGTGGGATCTGTATGCTGTGCTGCTGTATGTAATTATTTTGGTTAAAAGAGTAATCTATGTCTTCAGGGAAATCTAAATGTATGTTTTTCCTAGGGCAGTTTGCCAAATGAGGTATCAGGCTGCATGGAAGTCAGCTGTTGAGATTCAGTTTTTTTCTTCTTTGTCGAACCTAGACTTTTTTGACAGTTTTTGTGGATGACAGTATAGATATGCCTCTTCATCAAACAAATTTTTTTACCTGTTTATAATAATGAAAAATTATATTTGAGTTGTAGTTGGGTTGAATTAAACTGTACCCCTTCTTGTGGTTGTACAAACCTATGAACTTCAGAAAAACATCAGTTCTAGGAAATTATTCAGTCTTACAAACATTTATGTTTCTATTAGTTTTACTTAAAACTGTAACATTTATGGAGCTCTTGTACGTGTAAATCAAGGCTCCCAGAAGTTAAGTCAGAGCCTTTGTATATGCTTCACTGTTCTGAATGTGTTAGAAGACACAGAAAAAAAGTAAAACACTCTCTAGGACATTATTGGGAAAAGATAAGAACTCAAAGGTAACAAGTGGAGGAGTATCTATCTATTCTTCTGTCTCATTTTAAGGTATTCCTTTAATTAAAATGAAAAGAATGAATTAACTTTTACAGTAAAGAACTACTAAAAAAATACAGATTGTAGACTAATTCAATTTACTGTATTTTTCAAACAGGAGTTATATTAGTAAAACCACTTCCCCCTCCAACCTTCTTAAAAAAAGCTACTAAATTACTTTGTCATTCCATTAATTATCAGAAAGGAGGCTGATACATTCTTGTACACCATTCCAGTATTCAGAAAGGACATACTGACATTTTCTGCCAGCAGGGAAGAAGATGAAGAGGAATACATCAGCACATCAAAAGCAGCCATCCCAGTACTTCTTATTCTCTGTTTGCAATGTTGATCAAGACCTCTAATAAGCTTGTACTATTTCTGGTTAGCCCTATTTGGAAAGTAATTTACAAAAGAAGGAAATCTATAATTTCTTCATAAAGAAAAGGCAGGAGGAAAGAGGGGAATAAAGGTATTTGATTTTATTAAATAAAGATTGATACTGTGCACAGTATGTTTGAAAATCTAAGTTCTGGTATTTACTTACTTAAATACTTTCTAAACAAAATGTAATTATTACTGAGTCTATACTAAACAATAAAAACTATACCTGGCCTGTAGATGCCTTGGGTGGTGGAGAGACACCTTCATTCTGGCAATCTGATTCCGCAGGTGATAATTTTGCTCTAGAAAATACTGCTTTTACTTTTTGAAACATCTTGCCCATTCAACTCCCCTGAAGCCTCTACAACTCTTTTAACATGAACAGGCACATAGCATATGTTTTCTTGCCACCAGTAATCAAGCCAATTAGATACTTAATCAGGTTTAGGTCTGATTAATGCCTTAAAGAAATTCCTTGCACGGTCTGTTTCAGTTATGACTTTTTCTCACCATTAGTACTTTTGTGTTATAGACGATGTTATTTCTAGTCTTGATGCTTACGCTATTATACATCTATTTTTCATGCATAAATTCAGAGGACTGAACACTTTCTGTTAGACTAAATCAGTGTCTAATCTTCTGTGTATTGGATAGTAAGCATTTAGTTTATATTTAGAAATGAAGTTTTAAGTCCTAAGACACCTGTAGTTTAACCAGAAAATGAAAAAGATTGATTGACCAATAACCACCAGCTGCCCAGTGGACTACATGAGATCTTAAGAGGTTTAATTTCTTTGCAATCCTGAACTTTTTAAATTTTTTATTATTATTATTTTTTGAGAGTATAACATTAAAAGGTCTTCTGTCGGGGTTTGTTTAAGCAAGTTTATAGCCAATTTTATTCCACCCTTCTGATTTTAAAACATGGGAATAATTTAATCTTTCATTTTCCAATGTATTTACAGACAATACATTTTATGTAGGGTCTTAGCTACAATATTTATAAGATTAAGTCTTAGGTGAATGTCCAAGAAATTGATAAAATATAAATTTTTATGGAGTTTATAGCTAGGACATAATTTTGAGATTCTATAGGCTTTGGGTCATCCTATATAAATCTCTATAAAATCAAGCATGGTTTAATTTGTAGTTAAAGCTTAATTTCAAAATACTCTAGTGTCATAATAATTCAACTCCTGTTAACAATGATCTTTACAAATTCCACTTTATTTATTACAATGCTCTGACTGCACTTTAAACTCTGAATTTGAGCTAACATATTATAATTGATTTATGCTGGCTATGAAGGCATAAAGAAATGCGGAAACATACTCCTTTATTTCCATAATGACATATTTAGGAATTATATTTAAGTATGGAAAATGTCCCCATGGCTGCCTCCATGGGGCTTCTGTTGTCTGGAAAGAGTGGTTTCTAATCCTTAGTCTACCATTGTACTAACTGTAAGAATGAACCAATGATTCCATTAGTTTGCAAGCCTTTTTCTTACATCAACACTTATGAGGCAGACCTTATAATAATTGTCTGGACCTTAGTCTTTTAACTGGGAATCCCTCTACACACATAACTTCATGGTTGTTAGGTTTCAGCAATATCCTGGAATCTTCTGTTTTCTGGTTACTTTAAAAGCAATAAAATTCTTGCTAATGTTTCAGTCTGTGTTTAAGCTTAATGTCTGAATGACTAAATTAAAAATTAATATTTAAACTATTTTCGTATTTATGAAGGTCTGGACAATAGGTAGCTTCTTTTCTTTTGGATATGAAATTCTGCCTCCATGTTAGTTTTACATCAGCTCATAACAGAAGAATCTCTGAACAAATCCTGGAAACAAGTTAGTTTTTCTTTTACTATGTGAAATTTTAGTGGATTAAATTGACTAATGCAGGAAACTTTAATCAATTGCCACATACAAACTATACCTGCAAACACACTTTTTGAGAACTGTTTTCTCATTATAAAAAATTATTATTTTTTTTTTTTAAAAATAGAATAGGTAATTTTGTTCCTCGTTTATTAAAAATGATAGTTTTGTGCATTAAGCATAATGAAAATAGCATTTATTAAAGGAAAATTCATATCTCTTAAGAATTTCTGCGAAATTATGCACATTAATATTTTTAAAAATGCCAAACAAAATCATGGTGGTTATTTTTTATTGTAGTGTTTATGCTGGTTTTAATTTATAATTAAGAGGCATGCAAAAGGAATGTAACAAACATTAAAAGAAAGGGCCGTTGGGAGTCTGTTAGTAACTATTGACATCTACAGCTAAAGAATGTTATATTGGTTTAGTCTGTGACTAATTAAATGTTTGAAATTCCTTCATATGATGTGATTTTGTAGATAATAAGCAGACCACAACAAATCTACTATTTTGATATCAATTGGAAGTACATTTTCACCTCCTGCGCTGGTAAATTGACTAATCTGCTTCAGTATTTCATTTCTCTTCTATGCTCTGTGGCTATTTAGTTATTTTTATCAGGCTATGAACATGCTAAAAGCACTTCAGTTAACTGAATATCATGATGCGCTGTGAAGTAAGAAGATTAAGAGTGCAGCAGCCAAGCAGATAGTCTGTATCCAGTTAGCTTCTTAGCTATGCTGGCTTTGACTCGTGCGTACTATATGCTGTATCTATGGTAAACCTTAGAGGGTATAGGAATTCCAAGCCTGTCTCATACATTCTGTACATACAGGTGGAGTACATCCTACATTTGTTAATGATGTACTCCCTTTCCTATTTTTTTCCTTCAAGGAAATGTTGCTCCTTCATTTAAAAATTTTCCATATACATCAGCTTTCCAAACTTTTGATAATATATTTTTGAGGTTTTTTTTATTATTTTTTTTTTTTAATCTAAAAGTAAATTTGAAACAAGGCACTCACAGACTGGATTTTATGTTCTCAACTTGTTCAAGAGATTATTCTCCATAAAACATAGCAGGTGTCTCAGAAACAGGTAATTTAAACGCCGTATGTTCACTTGATTTGTAATCACTACTAAAACAATTGTCATGACTTCTTTCCACCAACCCATTTGAAGCTGCATTAAAGGGTGCACTACTTCTTAAATCATAAGAATATACAAAAGAAATCATGACTACTTTTTTGCCGTGTAATTAGGACAGTTGCTACTGAAAAGAGATTCCTTTCTTCAGGACTGTTCTCGGAGGTGTTTGGTTTTTTGGTTGATTTGTTGTTTTTTTTTTTTTTTTTTCTGGTACATATGAGATGTTTGAAAGCCCTGTGAGCCCAGATTTAACTACCAGTGTATTTAATAGGCATATAGTGATTTCCAAGAACTGCTTTGCATTCCTCAACAAGCAGTGTCAGGTGCTCCATTTGTTTGAAAGTACAGGTCAATAGATATCATCTGAAGGTTTTATTTTTGTATTAAATCACGTGTAGCATGTTAAAAAAGATCAAAGCCTGAGTTTCACTTCTATTCAGATGTTCCCATGATGCAAAATGTAATGTGCAGGTGTTTTTCATGGGTATCTTTTTCCAGTTTCTCTCCATGATTCAAGCATCTTGACAGCTAAGAGTAGTACATCTTTAGAGCTCTGTAGTAGTAGTCAGAGGCTGAATCTAGTACTTACAGTGTTTCTTCTGTACAGTGTAAGATTTGACAATTTTGCCTATTTTTGTGGATTAACAAAAATCATAGTCCTAATTTATCTGTCTTCCTTAATTTTGACAACTTTGTTAAAAGACTTTTTTTTTTCCTCAGGAAAAAATAGTATGGAGCTCAGATTTTTCATATCTACTCATTGTTTTAATTTTTAAACTCAGGTGATGCTATGACTTAACTAACTATGCCTTAATAAAGAAAATTAATTCATGTTTTTAATGGAAATATGTCTTTTTAATTGTTATATTACAGTTATGGCCAGATGTCTGCATTATAAGTGTAGCAGTCAGTGAGGTATCTTTAGAAATGACAAAGATTACTTAAAAGATGTTTCTTTGTTGTTTCAATATAGATAATTTTTCACTGATTCATAAGGCTTTTCTTATGTTACAGTTCATATACTGGCACAAATGTACCAGAATCAACCTCTGCATCCTACTTTTGAGGCAGCAATAGGTCTTATGGTCTGGAGAAATCTGGAAATACACAATAATCTTGATTGTTTTGGTCTCCAAGGAGTGCAGACTATATTTTTTCCTTTCAAATTCAGTTTTATATGTCAAATCCAATTAACAGGATTTGTTCAGATTGCAAGAAAAACCAGATGGGAGCACTTCTGTGGCAATAGGCTGGAAAAGACAGGGTGCTGATATTTCCTATTCCTTTTCACATTCCTCTATATAAAATTAAGGTAGGAGCCATATCCCAAAGACTCATTTTCTGGAGTCTTCATCAGATTCTGGCTAGCTTTGAGTGTGATACTATCATCATGCCATAATGTGATGGGTGGGCTGGAGGAGGTGACAAAATTGACTGTCATCCTGCCAAAATTTTGATGGCTGATGCCACCTCTCACTAGTGACCTCTTTTGATGAAATTAACATGTGAATCAAAGGAATGGGACATAAAGCAGAAGAAAAGTGTAACCCCACTTATGTTTAGTTATGTCATTTGTCTGCAGGCATAATAAAAGGTGAGGAAAGGTTCTTGTCTACTAGTGGAAAGTACCCTTCCCTTAACATGTCTGGCTCTTTTTTTTTTTTTTTTTTTTCCTTCCCCATTTCTCTCTGTCTTATCACTTTTTTTCAGAACAAAAAAAGGCATCACCACTAAATGTTTATGCCTGTGTTTCTTATGTGTCCTTATGGGCAGAATTTCTTTAGTAACATGTGTTACTCCCTAAAATGTAACTCATCACATGAGAAAGCTTTATCAACTAGGGTAGAGCTCAAAAGTCTCTCCCTCTGTCACTTAAATGAATAACCAAAATGAATCTCTGGACCTAGGGGAAAAAAGGATAAACCCTTCCAGAAAGGTGGTCATGAGCCCCACATGGACAAGTCTCAGCCATAAGCTAGGTCATTGGAAGAATTAGGCCCCCTGCAGCCACATAATCTCATACTGGCAATTTAGGGTCTCTTTACTACCTTAGTTGGCAAAGAGTACTGATTTGGAATGTGTAAGAGGTCATTATTGTGTCAGAAACAAACAACCTAAAAAGCAGTGCTCTCATGCCACATGTAGTTATTCGGTAATCTTTTCTACTAGGTCATAGTCCCCTTTCTCTTCCCACCTTTCATGCATATCCATGGAGAAGAATAGATTCCTATAGAGGGGAATAGGTTCTCTGCCACATCCTTTAGGTGGGAAATTGCCTGTATGTGGTCTGCTGGGTATTTCCCCAGGGAAGCCACTTTGTCAGGAGACTGGAG